GTTGACATCTAGTATTAACCATTACAATCCTGAAACCATTCCCTGCTTCCCTGTCTGTGGAAATATGGCCTTCCACAAAACCAGTCCCGGATGCCTAAAAGGCTGTGAACTGCATACAACTCAATGAAATGAGAAGTAGTGTCTGATTCAACTAATGTCTGTTAAATGATTCTCTCTATGGATCCAAGTATGAGGGGCAACCTTGCACAATCACATTCATGAGATTTCTGTTACTCTGTCTGTGCATCGGATTTAAAGGAAAGAATAGAATGTCATCATTAGGCACATTATTCATTAGCATTGAGATGTTTAGTAAATATTTAGGAGTACTGTAGGATGAAGGAAAGATGACACTATTTATTCTTGTAGTAGAATACTAATTTTTAATGACTATGATGAAATCAATAGGAAAGTCATTGAAAAAATCTGTGCATTTTAAGATGGGTGAAGAGTAAGTATTCCATATGTCTATCAGTTGGAAACTATTTTTGTTATTTGCTTTGAAAGAATGTAATAACATCAGCAAATGAACAAGGCAATTCCTAGATGAATTATATAATTATTTGCTGTATTTTAAAATATATTAATCTCTTACTATTATATGTAATTCATGGGGAATTATGTTAAACAATGCAAAAAATATCAATTAATATGCTTCAGAACTCATCGCATAGTCAAAAACTATCTTTCTTCCATATTTCAACAGCTTTCAATATCCATTCAACATTACTCTGTATTAGAGTAATGTTGGTAAATTGCTTGGAAAAATAGGCTAAAAACATTTTTTTTTTGAAGGTGGAGTTTCACATATGTTGCCCAGGCTGGAGTGCAGTGGTGCAATCTCAGCTCATTGCAACCTCCACCTCCCAGGTCCAAGCAATTCTCCTTCCTCAGCCTCCCTAGTAGCTGGGATTACAGGCATGTGCCACCATGCCTGGCTAATTTTTTTGTGTTTTTAGTAGAGACAGGTTTTACCATGTTGACCAGGCTCGTTTCAAACTCCTGAACTCAGGTGATCCCCCCACCTCGGCCTCTCAAAGTGCTGGGATAACAGCTGGGCGCCACCACGCCTGGCGAACAATTTTAAATTAAGTGCACAAAATTTTCTCTTTTCCTTTTGAAATAACTAATATTTTATTTTATTCATTTAGTTTCTTTAACTGCTTATAATTTCAACTGAGATGTTTGGATAAAAATACATTTTCAAACTAATTTATTAAAATGATAACTGTTAGAATGCCAGTCCAGTCAAAAAATGTTAGAAACATATAAGCAAAACTCACTGTAAATATCACTGGCTGCCTAACCATATTCCATACTTAGCTTCTACTAATGCTCCCCAGAATTGACTACTTTACCATTTTTCTTGACTTTTGATACGTGTATTCATATATCATTCAGTCTCACTTAGTCCTTACTGTTCATACTTTGGTATCACATCAACCCTGTTTTGTCACTTAAAGACAAAGTAATACTACTTTTTCACTTTTATTTTCACTTCATTTAAGAAGTAATCATTTCCCCAATAGTGAAATGATTCGAGATGTTTATCTGATGTATTGTTCAAATGGGTTTAGGTTTGTGACTGTCTCAAATACATGAGGGTTTGTCCCTACATGAGTAGGGACATCCTTCAGTTAAAGCACATAGTTGCATTTTAATCTTTAATTTATTTTTTAAAAAGATTTTTTTTCAATGTCACATAAACATTAAATTCTTTTTTTACCTCTCTCTTTACTTATTTACACAATTTATGATTGAACATTTTTCTATTGTTAAAAATATTTTCATAATACACTGTATCTGTAAAATTGTTGTAATCTTAATTTCTCCAAAATGGCAGCTGCCTTCTTTTAAAGGTAATGGGAATTTTAGTATGTTATTTGTATATAAAATGTTGTGTACTAATTTTTGAAATATTTGTAAATTAAATACAACATTTTTCTTTCATAAGAAAGGAGGCTCAGAGATTTTTGTGCAGGAGAAGAGCAGTTTTTAAAATAGGTAGTTTGCAATTGGCCAGATTAGTTTTAAAACTCTAAAATGAGAACAAGTCAATAGGATTTCCTTGATTAAATCTAGTGATCTTATTATTTATTTATTAATTGATATGTCATAATTGAACATATTTCATGGAGTACACTTTGATACCTGGATGCCTATCTATGTTGTATAATTATCCACTCACAGTACTTAGTGAATCTATTTTCTTATGTATTTATCATTTCTTTGTGGTAAGAAGATTAAAAGACATCTCTTCAAGCTATTTTGTAATACACAATATTTCGCTGTTAACCATAGTTACTCTACATGCAATAGAACACCAAAATTTATTTCTCTTATCTAGTTGTAATTTTACACCATCAATCAAAATTTCCCCAGCCTTTTTTTCTTCCTACTGTCTTCAGTCTCTGGTAACATTTTTCTATTCTTTGCTTCTATGATATTAACGTTTTTTATTTTTGCATTTTTTTTGACACCACATATGAGTGAGATCATGAAGTACTTGTCTTTCTGTGTCTGGCTTATTTTACTTACCATGATGTCCTCCAGGTTCATCCATATTGTCATAAATGGCAGGATTTTATTATTTTTTATGTCTTAAGAGTACTCCTTTGTATGTAGATAGTGCATTTTCTTTATAGACTATCTGTTGTCAAACACAGGTTTATTCTGTATCTTGGCTATTATAAATAGTGCTGCAATAAAAATGACTGGGTGAATTGCAATTAGCTTTAAAAAGATGGAACAGTATTGTAGGGACAGACCAGGAACCTAAGCCCATTAGTTAGATTGAATAAAATTGTAGGAGGAAGTGGCTATTTTATGTACATAATGAAAGGGATTCTTACTTGAGAGGTATTAGTTGGAGATGAAAAAAAAATAGAGAGAAAAAGTTGGAGAGGGGAAAACTGCCACAGGAGGTTAAGCAACTTGCCTTAGAAGAATTGAGATTGGTAAGTGTGCAAAGATAGAACTGGTGATGAAAGAGTGAGATTGGAATTAGGAATTAATTTATAACAATAATGTTGCAGGTTGGGACCTGGTTATGAGGCTAAGCTGATGCTCACTTTTCAGAGCTATAACTCTGACCAGTGCCACATTAACAGATATGGAAAACATGAGATTAACTATGAAGGTACAGAAAATAAAGAGATTAAAATTCTTTCTATATTTGAGATCTAGTTATTAATAATATAGTATATACACATACATATTATATATTACAAATGTATATATATAATTTTTTATATATATATATATACACAATTTTATATATATATATGGGAAAAGCTACGGTAAATAGAAAACATTAGCTGGGCATGGTGGCTTACACCTATAATCCCAGCTCTTTGGGAGGTGGAGGCAGGAGAATACTTGAGCCCAGTAGTCTGAGACTAGCCTGGGTAACATGGCAAGACCATGTCTCTACAAAATATAATGAAAAGTAGCAGGGCATGGTGGCACACACCAGTCATCAAAGCTATTCTGGAGGGTGAGGTGGTAGGATCACTTGAATTCAGGAGGTCAAGGCTGTAGCTAGCTGTGTTCAAGTTTCAAGTCACTGCACTTGAGCCTGGGTGAGAGTCTAAGTACCTGTCTTAAAAAAAAAAAAAAAAGAAAAAAAGAAAGAAAGAAAGAAAGAAAAAGAAAACTTTATTGAGGAGAAGAGGACAATAGAGTCTTAGGAATTTGAATTAATGCATGAATAAAGAACGATCCAATTATTGTATACCAAGACTGGAAAAATAAATTTTATATGAGTCCACAAAACAGTTTTCAACAGTTTTCAAATGATAGACAACATAATATGGGAGTTGGGGGTATGCTTACAGCAGTATTAGAAAGGCTGAAAGAGCAAAAAGGGCCTGCTACTCCAGATAATGGGGAAATGAAGGAAGCCACTTCCATCCCTAAATATGAAAAACAAACAGGGAAAGGTGGTGCATTCTGGGTCCCATCATTCCAGACTGCCCATTGGCCTTACTTGAGTGCAGTTGCTGTCAGACAGAAACTCTGGACTCTGAACTCTCAGTAAAGCTTCTGAAGACACTGCTGTTGCTATTGCCGCTGTCAGCACCACTAATTCAGCTTAGAAGCAGCCCAGATTATCACACTGGGACTGCTGGTTGTGTCTTTTGAACCAGATTGAAATTAATATCTATGGTATGTTTCAATTTCTATGAAGTTCAATGTCAATCAAATCTCATTTATAAAGGTTAACGTAAGAACGGTGGTTGCCTATAGTAATGACTAGGAGGGTTCACAATAAAGACTCCTGGGTGGAAGTATATGTGAAACAAAATTGCTGAATGTAAAACCTTTTTGAGGTATCTAGAAAATATTTAGCAGTGTGCCATAATTTAGAAGCATTTTAAAAATGCATTTTAGTGGTACATAAAAAATTAATTAATGAAAGTAGCAGGGCATGGTGGCACACACCAGTCATCAATTCATATTCATGTAGGTTGTGATGACATTAGTATTTACATTCTAAAAATGTTTAATACTGTATGCTTAACATCTGTGTCTTTCACCTGTTCATATTTCAATTAATGGATCAGTTAAAAAAAGTTCCAGTTCAGGATACAATACTGGAGAATAATCCAAAATATTAATTTATTCCTAAAATGTTAAAAATATGAGAATAAACACAGAGCATTTTGTTAAAACAATATGGCAAACTTAAATGTAAAAAAATAATAAATTGAGTTAGAAATTTCAAAAAGGCATTTCATATGTCTTTTCAACTGTCAATTTTACAAAGTTGAAAAAACTTGAGATCAGTAAATGTGGAAGCATATGTGAAACAAAATTGCTGAATATAAAACCTTTTTGAGGTATATATAACATAGCTGAATGGAATGGAGAATGAAATGGAATGGAGAATGGAATGGAATTAAATGGAGAATATAAAACCTTAAATGCTGAATATAAAACCTTTTTGAGGTATATATAACATAGCTGAAAACAGGCTATGAATTCTAAACCGTGGTAAAAGGGGTAAAAGGTCACACACATTTCTTTTAGATGCTGCATACATTACTTATGTTAACATGTCATCATCCAAAAATTGGCTACCTTGCCTCATTAAAGGTGTGAGGACGCTGGTAAATGTACTTTAGTTTGCTAAATACCTTGCAAGATACAGGGATGCATATTGAGAAGACAAAGAATGGAAGTGAGGATTACCTGTTATTTTGACTCCCAAGTATTGGAGAACATTCCCAAAGAAATATTATACCCAATTCCTATCTGATTAATTATTTCAGCATCTCTTTCATAATGTTTGCTTAATAAATGTGCTTCTAGCTGAGGCTGTATACAGTCTTGTATTCCATAGACTAACTATCTAGGGTAATTCAGACGTATAACCTAAGTTTATGTTACAAATTTCCTAACTTATGTTCTTTTGCCGGAGTTTATCCTCATTGCCCTACCCACCAGCTGGTTTACTACAGTATTCTTTTTATATTCTTGAATGTTCAGTGAAATAATTTTTAGAATTATTTATGAATAGAAATTAATTAAAAAGAAGCACCTTCTTTTATATGGACAATGGCACAGTTCTAATTTGTCTTGAAAACAGTTTTAAGCACAAGTAATTACCCTGAATATATAAATAAACCATTTATAAGTAGGTCAATAGGAAAACCTTTCACCAATTTTCTAATGTTATATCATTTTTAGATATTATGAAGGAATGGAACATGTTTTGAAAGATGAGAGAAATAATATGCATTCTTCTGATACACATAGTAATACATATATCTGATATAGTGGTATTTATTCTTCTGACACATATTACCTCTCCCATCCTCCAAAACATGTCCATTATTTCATAAGATCTAGAAATAATAAAGAGAAGTAATGATTTAGAACTGTAGACAGAAATTGCCGACTGGTTAGACAAGTTAAAAATATGCTGAATTCCTCCATCACGAGAGTCATTTCAGATGACTCTTCTACGACAAAATCACTTTAAAGGAACACTTACCCACCTGATTCCTGTATAAAGTCATGAGATGGTCAAGGTGGTCTTCCATTGTGCAAACTATTCACTTGTCAGTGGTTTCCTCATTTTGCCATGCTTTGTAAAAATAAAAAGAATGAACAAGTAAAAAAAAAAAAAAAAATGCTGAATTGAAATTAGCCAATAATAACAGATTCCAGTCTTTTTTTTAACAGCTAGGTTATACCTGGATATACCTTACTATATCCTATTTTTAGATATAGCATTTGAAACTTCCAAGAACATAGTGATAATTTTAATTGAGTTATTATGGTTAATATTTATTTTTAAAAATTCTGAAGTTTTTTAAAAAATTCAATATGTTATGGTGCATTAACAAGAATGATTGGAATAATGCATTTGTTTTAATGTACTGGGATGGTGATGTGTTTTTCTGCTGAAAAAGATGACTATTCATCATCTTAAATTACATTAGGTTAAGAAACAGTGAAAACTGTGGGATTCCCTTAATGGCTTTCTTACTCTTGAGTTCTAAAATATTTATCGATCTCAAATATATTTTACATTAAGAAACAATGAAAATTGTGGGATTCTCTTAATGGCTTTCTTACTCTTGAGTTCTAAAATATTTATCAATCTCAAATATATTTCACATTATGTTGAACAATGACTATTAATAGTTTCTGCTGAAAAAAAATTATCCACTTTTTATGCATCACCATTTCAGAATTTGGCTTACAAAAATAAAAATATCAATATCTGCCCTGCATATATACCAATGATTTTTCAATTTTTAGTCAATAAGCTGTTTCATTGATTTTCTGCTATGTGCCTAAAATTGTGCATGATAATATTATGCAAGGTACTGTGGAAATACTTAAAGTAGTATGTTTGACCACTGCTTAACAAAGTAGTACATAATTAGAGAAGCAAACCAAATTTATAAGCAGCAATGCGAGTATCCTACAGGTAAGTTTTATTATTATAAATATATATAATACAGATAATAAAATCTTTATGAAATAATCTATAAGAGAGGTGAAATGGGTAGGAGAATTCTCTGCCAGGAGAATGCAAATGCAGCAAAAAATTTAAAAAACCAAAATATTGAGAACTATTTTGTGGAAAGTGTTACCAGAATTTAATAATACATTTAATAGAAGCATAAGATTAAAAATGCAAAGATGAATTCCAAGTTGCTTACACTCAAAAATAAGTCATTAAAGGTACAGTATTTAAGCAAATTTTTGATCTATGAAGCATATAAAAATGGATAAGGCATAGTTCTTTATGCTAGAAATGGAGAATATTTTTTGTAGAGAAATAAGATTTAGGGTATGTAATATTAGGGGAAAGAAAATGCCTCATAGATGTCAATAAACCTTGTTCTTTCTGATTATTTTACTATGTTTTCATTTCCTGTAATAACTGGAGAAATAGTAATGTTGGAGCAATTAAGCCTCCAACTCTTAAAACAATAAAAGTTATTGCTTGTTTAGATAATAGGAATGCTATTTGTGGTTTCCTGCAGGGTGATTCAAAGATTCATTGTTTTCCCATCCATGGTTTTGCCATCCTCAATACATACCTCTTGGGAGTTTTCTCTGGATTGTTTTAATGTCAGCCAACCAAGAAGAATAAAAAGAGTATTAAAAGTTATCAATCATAGGTCTATGTGACCCTGTTAAGAAGGCTACATCACTACTATACACTTTCCACAGCTTAGAATCTAAATTTCTACACCAAAATGTAGGCAAGTATAGCAAATATTGTCCAAATTTACAGGAAAAGAGAATTGTGTGTTCATCTTACAATTACTACTAAAATCCCCAGCATTGAACTTAAATGATTCACCAGTTGTTCATTAGGAGCATATGCTATTGGTTGGCTGCCAGAATACATTATCTTACCTTTTCTTTCTAACAGTGAACATATCCAATATATCCAAGGCTTCCAAGGCTTCAGTTCTTCTTAAAGTTTACTGCCTCATCTTCAGATTCAGGTTTGATGTGATTACTCTAAATATAGAGAGATTCCTTGCCAATGATAAGAACAAAAATAATATGACCCTAATTCAGTATAAAGGCAAATCAGGGCAAATTACCTTAAAAGTTTTTAAAATAAATGCAAGAAAACATGTTTTTCTTGGTATCTGTTTCTTGGTCTTCTGGGTAGAGTTGTATCTGAACATGATGCCCCTAAATTTCTGCAGACATTTTTGCAGCAATGTTAAAGGTAAAGGTAAAACAAACAAAAAAAAAAAAAAAAAAAAAAAAAAAAAAAAAAAAAAAAAAAAAAAAAAAAACCCAGAAAATATATAAGCAAGATGAGTCCTCTTTTATCTCTTGATTGACTTCCATATTAAATCATGAATTTACCTTATGCTTGAAAGAATTTGAAATAGTATTTGGCAGTCAAGAAGTTACTCCTCCCGTATTCAAGGGAAATTTCCATGAGGTGGGTTGTTGGTGGGCTACCTTCAACTCACCCACTTCAGAGCTACTACGGTGTTAATGCATGTTGAAGAAAAGAGTCGAACTCTGTAAAATATATGAAGAGATTTATTCTGAGGCAAATATGAGTGACCTTGTCCTGTCACACAGCCCAGGAGGTCCTGAGAACATGTGCCCACGGTTGTTGTGCTACAGCTTGAATTTATACGTGTGAGGGAGGTACATTCTGGAAAGGTGAGACAACTCAAAGCAGGTGGGGGTAGGGTGGGTGAGGGCTTCCAGGTTAAAGGTGAATTTGAAGATTTTCTGATTGACATTTGGCAATTGGTTAAAAGAGTATATCTAAAGACCTGGAATCAATAGACGGGAGTGTCTGGGTTAAGATAAGGGATTTTAGAGACTGAGATTCTTATGCAGATGAAGCTTTAGGGTAGCAGGCTTCAGAAAGAATAGATTGTAAACGTTTCTTATCAGACATAAAAAGATGCCAGACTCATTTAATTCAGTCTTGGATCAAGAAAAATAACTGGAAAGAGAAGAGGATTCTCTACAAAATGTAGAAAATTCTCTACAAAATGGCCCCTTTGTAGGGCCGTTTCAAAGTATATCAAAGAAATGTATTTTGGGGTAAAATACTTTGATTTCTTTCAGGGCCTGCTATCTGTCATGTTAATATCTTATTGCTACAGTCTGTTCTGTGGGTCTTGAGGTCTATGCTTTAATGTTAATGCTGGTAAGCTATGAATGAATTCCAAAAGGATGAAGGTAAATAATGAGGCAAGTTCAGCCACCCATTTCCATCACGGCCTGGATTAGTGTTTCAGGTTTACTTTAAAATACCCTTGACCAAGACCAGAGGCCCATTTAGTTGGTTGAGGGGCATTGAATTTTATTTTTGGTTTGCATGCAGATGCCATGCTTTCCTCAGGTTAGTCCCAGACAATGCTGAGCAAGGTGGATTTTATGGGGCTTCTCATTCTTGTTCAACATGGGCTTTTCTAAAGGGCAGTGTCATGTGGTGCTCTTTCAGTCTGGCTGAGAATTTCTCAGATCTACACTCTTCTCTGAGGCTTCTCCTTTCCGACTATCTTTCATGCTCTTTCTTCTTTCGAGATACCAGGCTTGTATGATGATATGGAGGCTCTTACAGCCTCCTTTTGCTCTATCTTCTCTTTATTCTTCAAAGGCATTTTCTCTGGTTAACTTCTTATATGTGTAATTCGATCTTGGTATCTGATTCCTGAGAGCTTAAACTGGCATATAATTGTACTTACTTTCAATGAAAGCTTCTTTGCTGATTCATCATTCATTAATTCACCAAATATAGTGTGTTTCATATGGGAAAACAATGATGCCTAGGTATCCATAGCTATGCAGTCTGACATGTGCTATAATAAGAATATGGAAAAAGTACTATTGGTTTACAAAGGTGGAAATTTAGGAGGTTAGATACATTTAAAGTAAAATTTGATTAAAAAGTAAGAACATGTGGTGTTTATAACATATATTAGTAAAATACGATGACCTATCAAATCCTGTTAAATCAAATTAAATATGACCTGAAAATAACTCCATACTTCTATATTTCATCTGTGGATGAACCGAAACCCAGCTTAATATGTACACAAGACTAAAAGCTAACTTAGCAGTGTGCACCTGTAACAATCGCTGAATCTTGGCCAATCCCAGCAGCCATATTTCAACTAGTCACATACTGCTGAGTGTTCAAATAAGGCAAACTCCAAGCTGCAACCAATCCAGCTGTTTCTGTACCTCACTTCTGATTTCTGTACTTCACTTTGCTTTTTATTGTCTATAAGTTTGTTCTGATCATGTAGGGGCTGCCCAATTCATGAATCATTTATTACTCAGTTAAATTCTTTTAAAGTTCATTCCACTAAAGGTTTTTTCTTTTCTTACAATCCTTGCTATAATGATCCACACAAGTCGGTGTCCAATACAATGTTCCTATCCTTCTTTTGCGGTTGTCTTAAGTTATACTGTTGCTGATTCAGCTTTGTACAAAATGTCAGAGCAAAACAACTATGAACAATGTAGAGATCTGCAAGGATTCCCACACAGGTGAAATTTGCAAGGTGAAAGAGGTAATTTTTAAGGCAAAGAGGCAAGTGTGTACCAAACACCAATGCCCTTGTATACCAAAAGCTAAAGATTCTACAATTTGCCAATGATAAGAATGTACCTTTCATGACAGCAAGGACCTCATACATTGTCTTATTGTGTATCCCTAAAATCTATCATCATGCTGAATAAGGGGAAGTAGAAGTAATTTTGAGGAATTAAATGTTTATTTGTAAAATTCAGTCTTATCTATGGGAAAAATCTCTCCTTCTTATTTGTAATTCATTAAATTGTTTGGAAGGGGAAAAAAAACTGAAGGGAATATTCCACATAGAAAGTTGTTTCAGAAATTATGCAAATTTATTCTAATAACTAAGAAATTGTGAATATGCGTAAGGAAAGTTAGTTAAAGGAACATTTCAGATTTAAACTAAGGTGCAAATGGCTTAGAGAAAAGCATAAATAAAAGCATATTGTATATGTGAAATGGTTTTATTTGAATTAGGTATAGAATATCAAATGAGTAAGATATAGTAAGGAATTGGATATATGGAAATACAGACAGAATTCCAGAGAACCTACTTGTAGCTTTTGATAGCAGAATTATTAGTCAACTTAAAAGATATTAAGATCTACAAGAATAAGTAGATAATTTCTATTCTGTATTTTATTAATGAAAGAAAACCAGGAAAAGAACTTGAATTTTCATCACTAGCATGTTTCCTACAGACATAAACATAGTAAGTAGTGAGTGTATTCAGATATAAGGTAATAAAGAATCATAATGAACCCCAACATCCAATCAGGAAGAATGCTGTAACTCTACATATTCATTAAATTGTTCACAAGCTGACAACTTTTAGCATATAATATGGTTTCCTTTAGCTTGTTAAAGAGAATGGACTCATGACTAAAACATAAGAACACCCAATGAAGCTCAACTAAATCAATTAAACTGTGAAAAAAATGACTAGTCATCATCTCTTCATTCTTATTGAAAGAATAACTTAGAAGTAAAAACATTCAATTTTTGTAAACAGCTTTATATTTACTGAATTTGTGCATATAATATCAGTTGCATTTCAAAATAAAATGGCTGCTTTAAAAGTGATGCAAAATTACCTATTTATACATTCTCTGAAGTAAGCAGGGTTAATTGAAAAGTGGTTATGAAGGCATGACTGCAAGCTGCAAATTGAGCCTGTTTTCAGAAACGTGCTGTAGCTGAGATATGTTCAGATTTGTTTTATGTTCAGATTTGTTGACATAAAGATTTATAGAGAAGCATTACCTATTCTCAAGAACTCAAGGAGAATCCAGCTTTGGAAAGAAAAACCTCACCGAGTATGTTTTGTTGAATCAACAGAATTTTATTTTAAGAAAACTACTGATGATTTTCTTTCTGAAAAGATGTCTATTCTGACATCTAAGAAAAACCAAATATTTGATACTTAATATAATTTGCAACTTGACGTAAAACTACTCAGTTCAGTTGGTCATTGTAAGGTTGATTGCCTCGCCGGGAGGCTGGACACACCCACCTCTGCACTCAGCACATGACTCTACACCCGGCAGCAGGGTCTGCACTGGCACCTAGCTCTGCCGCATGGCTGCCCTGGAAGGCTCCCGCTGATGCAACCCTGGCCAGCTCTTGCACCGGAAAACCCGCTTAACAACCCGCCCAACAACCTGACAACCAATAGCTGCCCGCTCTGTCTCAATCCCGCTACCCTGGGCCCAATCAGAGCACCCAGCTGTTGCTCATTCCTCCTAGCCATAAAAACCCTCCTGCCCCAGGAAGTCAGCGCAACTTCTCTGTCCCCCTTTCCCTGGGACCATAGAACCTCACCCGGGAGCTGAATAAATTGGCATTTAATTTTCTTATACTGGCTTCAGTTTCCTCATTTTAAACTTGGCAATAACCTTTACAGTCATTATCTTTAGATAACCATTATATATATCTTTAGATAATCATTAGATAACCATTCCTAGCACTTTAAAAAAAACTAAAAGAAAAGAAAAAAAAAGAAGAAAAGAAAAAACAACACTGGAAACTGACTAGGTAACAATTTACAAAATCAAGGATTAATTTCACCAATTACAGCATTAATAAAACAAAACAAATAAAATATATTTTAAAAATCAAGAAGATAATAGGAAAACAGCTCCCTGAGGACCCCTGGAACAGTAATTAGGCTGGCACTCTGTGCTTGTTACACGTTAACTATTTTCTTTAATGTTTGTATGAAACAACACCAACTTATCTTTAATTTATCTTTAATTTTCTAAAGCAATGTAAATAGCTGCCATGTAACAATCACCAAGACAGGATCCATTCTAGCTCACAAACTACTCTAATACTTTTTATTAAAGAACAGTCCACTTCAGGATAATGTGTTCCTCCTGGTTTCTATATCTCTTTAGCTTCTTTAAATAAGAAGTATTCCATAGTCTTTCCTCAACCTTCATAGCATACTAAATGCTTTTAGAATGTGTTATTCCAATGGATCCTTTGTTTTAGAATGTCCACCAATTTTGATTTGTCTGGTGTTTTCTCATAGTGAGATGTCAAGACATGCATTATTGGCAATAACATCACCAACATGATGCTCTGCCCTTCTATTCATATTTCTTCAGGTGGTATACAAGATCATTTTTTTCCATTAGTGGTAACTTTAATTTTGATCACTTGAAAGATAATGTCTTCCAGGTTTCTCTATTGCAAAGATATTCCTCATTTTAATTATAATGACATAACATGGCATAAAATTATATTATATATATGTATATAGACTATATATTATATACATACAGATACATGTAATTGAGTAATCTAAAATTAAGTGTTTTGTGGGGAGATAATTTGAGACTGAAAATATCCCGTATTTTCTCCAGCATTTACCTGCTAGGTTTAGTATCAAAACTCAGTCAAACACAACATGGAGATTGTCAAACGGTAATTTTTTAGCATACAGTATCACCCCTTTTCCTTTTATTGGTTGGGATGCTGTGGGAAAATAATAATGTTTTCTTCTTCTATTTATTCTTGAATTAATACATTTATCTCATGTGGACCCATGGATCCCTACTTCATTCAGTGGCCCATGATCTTTTCCTATACTTATTTTATTGTTTCAATTTTTCTAATTTTGCTCGTGGGAAATATTCAAGTTTCTCAGCTCTTCTAATATTTCTTTCTTATCATTTGAGCACTCCTTTATGTTCTATGTTTTTCTTAATTCTCAGATTATGAATGGTCATTGCAAATCTATCAAAATATAATGGATTTCTATATGTTATTCTTATATTCTGTGATCTGGCAAAATACACAATTTTACTAGCTTTTTTGCAGATATCTTTTTTATTTCCTGCATAGACTATAATAATATCTGTGAAGAAAATGTCTTTCTTTCTAAATTGTATGTATTGTTACTTCTCTCATTGCATTGCTAAGACAGTAGCATAAGCTTCAAAATAATTGATCAGAGCAAGCATCCTTGTCTTTTTCTAGGTATCAGGGCAAACATTTAGTCACCTTAATGTTATTGCAAAGTTAAAGAACATAGTATAAATCTTAGAATACCAAATAGGACAAAATAAGCAAAAATATATGATTAAGAATCTATTAGTTGAAATAAAATTCAAACATAAACACTTAAGCCAAAATAAAGCATCAATAGTGGAAAACAGTAATAAAGAACAGATTAAATTTATGGAAAATAAATTTTATGATAGTAGATTTAAGGCCAAAATATAGATAACAATGTTAAATATAAGTAGTCTAAAAATACGATTTAAAGTAAGAATTAGAATTTTAAGACTAAATTTAAAAAGTAATGTTAAATCATATACTGTCTACAAAGATCTTTTAATATAAAAATTGGTCAGAAAAATACATGTTGAAGATATCTGTACTTGGCCATGACAGGAGTAACTAAATTAAACCCTTTATAAACTAAACAAGCAAAACAAACACACAAATAAAAACTAAGTGTAAACAAAATATAATCAACAGTAATTTTTCGACCATTGACAAGAGAAAACTCAGGATGCTGATCTCTGATGAAAGAAAAAATAAAATCTGACTTATGCCAAGCTTTCTCTCATAGTTTCCAGAAGACGTAGTGAAAGAATAACCCAAGGAAAGTATAACTCTCTCTGTATATTCAGAAATCAGAGATTGGAGCTTAGAATGGAAAATAAAACTAGAATTGCAGAGCTAAATAGAAGAGAGACAGAATTTGCACAGAGATGGTTTTATGGTATGGCTGTGTCCCCACCCAAATCTCATCTTGAATTCTCACGTGTTGTGGGAGGCACCCAGTGGGAGGTAATTGAATCATAGGGGCAGGTCTTTCTGATGCCATTATCATGCTAGTAAATAAATCTTATGAGATCTTATGGTTATATAAGGGGGAGTTTCCCTGCACAAGCTCTCTCTTTGCCTGCAGCCATCCATGTGGAATGTGACTTGGTCTTCCTTGCCATGTGCCATGATTGTGAGACTTCCTGAGCCATGTGAAACTATAAGTCCATTAAACTTCTTTCTTTTGTATATTGCCCAGTCTCAGTTATGTCTTTATCATCAACATGAAAATGAACAAATACAGATGGGTGAGAGAAAGCTCTGCAGACCTGCCTAGGAAACTATTCAGTCCTTTATTGAATACTAGCCTGTGAATGCATGAGAGAAAATAACTGAAGCCTTGGGTAAAATGCCAGCATAAAGGATTTGAAAAACAATTGTCAAAGATCAGAAAGTTCTGCAAATATTCTTGTTTCCACCAGTTAAAGTAGAAGACAGGGTAATTCACAGCTGTTAGGTAGAAGCTTCAGAATAATCCTGCTTTTGTGTTGGAACTCACTCATTCCTAAACCTAAAGCAACTCTGCATCTTCTCTAAGAAAATTTTATAGCAAAATCTAAAAGCATCAAACTGATTCCAAGTAATTTAACTGTGTTCGAGAGCAAAATACAAAAATGTACAAAAGAAATTCAACAAAATCTTATAATATAGAATTCACAATATCTGGTTTTCAGTGAAGAAATAATTCCCAGACATAAAAAGAAGTAGCAAAATATGACTTGAACCTGGAAAAAAATCAATAGATAGAAAAAAACTCATAAATGATGAGCATAATAATAATTAATATTCAAACACGTTAATTCAGGTGTTATAAATACGCTTTACTTTTTCAAATAAGATGGGAAAATATATATTATAAGAAAATAAAAATAGAACAAATAAAAACAAGCAGACTTCTAAAGCAGAAAAAGTAAGTACATCAGATTAAAAATGTGTGAGTAAAATTAACAGCAATTTAACTATTGTAGAAAAAAATACCAGTGATCTTGATAATGTAACTATATAAACTATCCAAAACAGAAAACATGGAAACATTTGAAATATTTGAAAGGTGACCATACTGTGTTGGGCAATATTAAGCACCATAACACAAGAAGAGATGGAGTCCCAGAAGAAGAGTGAGTGGATGTATGTGTGGGAGTATGTTGTGGGGAAGAACAAAACCAAAAATTTGAAGAAATTATTGTCAAAATGTGATTAGCACCACAAATAAAGACAAAAATGGCAAGATAAACTATTATCTAATTTCTAAAAATCAGTGATAAAGAGAAAATCCTTGAAAGGCATCAGAGATGAAAAAATAATCTACATCAAAAGAAACATACAATTTTTCTTCAGAAACGATGGAAGCCCAGAGGCAATGGAGCAATAATAAATAATTAAATCAGAAAAAACAACTTAGTGTACATTTTTATAACAATTAAAAATTTTTAAGCACTAAAATAAACTATGACTCATTTATTTTTAGAAAATTAAAAATAGGTTTGGAACTAAGGTAAAGTATTTGACACAACTAGGGTACAAACTTAAGTTGCTACTCGGTTTCAGGGTTACATATCTGAGATTGAGAGTGCAAGACTTGTGCCTTGTGTGACCCAAGAGAGAATGCCTCATTAAGTTTTTCACCAGAGGTAATTTGCTTATCTCACCATAGTCTCAGCACTGAACAAAATCTAAAGAACTTAATTGCCAGCAATCCTCCATTGTAATTTGTAAGAAAGATTCCTAAGACAGAAGTAAAATGTTATGGGATGTATATCTGCATCTATGGAAAAAAAACGGCAATTTATTATAAAGTGTATCAAGTGATATGCTATTATTTGAAAGTGGACTGTGATGAGTTAAATATTTATATTTTAAACGTTAAAGCAATCACCTAAAAAAGCATATTAGTAAATCAATAGCAGAAATAAAATGAAATGATAAAATATATATTTAGCTAATCTACAAATGTAAAAAAAAGATAAATAATTGAACAGAAACAAATAAATAATTGAATAAGATAGAGAACATAGGAAGAAGATATATTTAAAACTAAGCTTATTCATAATCACATTACATGTAAGTCATTCAAACACATCAATGAAAAATCAGAACTCTAATTCTGTCTACTAAAATTATGATGTAAATGTAAATACAGAGATGCCTGTGAATTTATAGAAAACTAGAGTTGCTATATTAATGTCAAACAAAATGTATTTCAGAACAAAACATATTACCAGAAATAGAAAATATACTCACTGATTGTAAAGGGGTCAATTTATTAAGATAACTAAACAATATTAACACAAAGAAGTGATACATGTTGAGGTGATTAATATCAGAATTACGCTGATTTGATAATAGCACACTGTATACTTGTATGCATATATACCCCATACATATGTGAAACTCTTATCTATCTATAATTAAAAATTTTAAAAAATAAAAAATTAAATAAATGTAACAGTGTCATATATTTATGGTAGAAAAGAAAAAAAAATCTAATCAGTTCCCAAAGCAAATTAAACCCAAACTAAACAGAATGCTGTTGTCTGAATGTTTGTGTCTCCTTGAATTTCCTAAAGAGGTTTAATTGACTCACAGTTCTGCAGGTGTGGGGAGGTCTCAGGAAACTTATGATCACACCAGAAGAAAAAGCAAACATGTCCTTCTGCACATGGTGGCAGGAAGGAAAAGTGCAGAGCAAAGGGGGTAAAAGTCCTTTATAAAACCATCACATTTTGTGAAAACTCACTCACTATCATGAGAACACCATGATCTAATCACCTTCCAGAGGTCCCTCCGCCAACACATGGGGACTATAAATCTGATTGCAATTCAAGATGAGATTTTGGGTGGGAACACAGCCAAACCATATCACTTGTTTAGAATATTGTGGGAGGAAATGGCATAAATAATAAATATAATATATAAGTAAATTTTGGAGTATACTAGAAGATGGATAATTCTACTAACAAATACTGAAAGGTAAAAGATGAAAGGAATTGCTTAAGAAAGAGACATACATTTACATGTGTTGATCTTAAGAAATCAACAAGGAATGATTAGCAAGAATTGAAGAAGAGAAAGGAGAGCCATGTGAGCATCTGAGGTGGAATGTGAGAGGCAAAGACAAAAGCCAGGACAAAGCAGACACATGGTCGCCTGTATTCATCAGCATGGGCTGCTGTAACAAAATATCATGGACTGAGCAGCTTATAAACCACAGACATGTATTTCTCACAGTTTTGGAGGCTGGAAAGTCCAAGATCAAGGTGCCAACAGATATGGTGTCTGGTAAGGGCCCAGTTCTTCATATAGATGGCTGTCTCCTCAGTCTAATCTTACATGGTGGAAGAGGGGCAGGTCTCTCTGTCGCATCTTTCATAAGGACTCCACTTCCATGATCTAGTCACCTATTAAATGGCCAATTTTTTAATATTATCACCTTGGGGGTGAGAATTTTAACATACAAGTTTTTGAAGGTCGTAAACAATTACACCAGAGCATAATTCTTGGCAGATAAAAGAAGCGATAAGAAAGCTGGTGTGGTCTGACTGGAATGAGCAAGGGGCAAGTTTTAAAATACAATAAAATATTAGGCTAGACTATTAAAGTACTTTGTCATTAGAAGTTCTATCTTTCAGAAGACCTCTACCCAATCCTTGCTTATACATCTTGCTAAAGTTTTAATTTTTCCATTGATTTCATATTTGTCATAGACTTCTTATAAATCTGATTTTCAATTATCCTTACTTCTTACACATACTGCTATATATTATTTAATCATTCTGCTTTATGTTCTTCTGTGTGAAATTATAATACTTCAACCCAGTTTACTAGGAACTCATTACAGTTGATCCACTGTATTTGTTGGGTGCTGGTTCCAGGACCCTCTCAGACACGAAAATCTACAGATGCTCAAGATCTTTCTATAAAATGATGTATAGTAGTATTACATATACCTGTGCACATCCTGTCACATACTTTAAATCATCTCTAGATTTCTTATGATGCCAAGTACAATGTAAATGCTATGTACATAGTTATAATGTGTTCTTTAGGGGGTAATGACAAGGCAAAATTCCATACATTTTCACTTTTTCATAAATGTTTTTCTAAAGATTTTTGCTCCATGGGTGTTTGAATCCACATATGCAGAACCTCTGAATATGGAGGATCCACTTTTCTGTCTTCCTAACTACATATTGGTTTCTATTATTCTCTTTATTAAATTTTAAATTGTAGACCTACAACAAATTTGATGTTTTCTATTGTTTTAATTTTCTAATTCTTGAACAGTATTCTGTTTCTGTTTCACTGTATGAACATCCACTTATGTTTTCCAAAATATTATGCTGTCAAATAATTCAGGAAGACTTTGAAAATTTAAAGGCAGTAGATTTGTCTCAACCTCAATTATATCATCTGTAACAAATAAGATTATCCCGTCATTACAATTAAATACTAAACTCTGTTTAAGACGTCTTAAAGAATGTTTAAGATAGCATGCATACTTAATATGAATATTCATTTTTCCCCTTCATTTTGTGATATGTTATAGACTTATTTATTTGTTTTGTTTTATATACCTTACAAGTGCATAAACTCCTTAGTATGCAGAAACTTGCCTTCTTATTTTAATATAACATTCATTTCCTTAGCAAAATTTCTTACACATAAATGTTCTACAAATGTTTATTAAATTAATTAGTGTCAGCTACATGCATGCTTTATTCATTAAGCTGTCAAAGGATTGATCTGCTTTAAGGCTGGGCTTTTTTGTCAAATCATAAAACTTTAATCTTTTGCATATTTAAAAATAATACATGTTTAGGTAATAATAAAAATCAATACTCATACTCATAAATAATAGATTTTAAAAGTATTGTAGGCTAACGTCATATATTTTGGAAACGAAACTAATTCTTAAAGTCTTTCAAATTATTCATCTTATTTATTCTCATTTTCTTAAGTAAATGTTTATCTTGTATTTTATTTTTAAGCTTTTAGAAATTTCAACAATATAGTTTATGTACATAAAATATTTAAATCAATTTAATCTACGTACATGTTATAAACTAAGTTCCAGTAAAGTTGCATAGAGTGCAACAATGCATTTTATTCTTCTACTCACATTTTCCTATTAAGTCTTACAAGTTTAAATAATTACTTTAGCTAAGGCTAGGAACTTCTATGTAGGCAAGTTAGGGGCTAATTGCCCAATTTATATGCAAAATGAACAATTTTTCTGGGTGCTTTATCATTTCATCTTTCCGTTTAACTTTCTCTATTTTATCCAAATAATATTTGTTTTATTTTACCCTATTTAAACTAATGAATAAAAATATTCCTCCACATAAACTCTATGTTAATGTTTCAAATGGAGTATTTTATGCCCAATATGTTTTGAGTAGTAGCGCCTTTAATAATATTTTTATTTATATTTGTACAAGGCATATTATATCTGAAATGAACACAGAAAAATTTAGCATAAATTCAATGTTAGCCTTAGATGTTACAGTTAAATCTACAGAATACAGAAAGAAAAAATGTAATGTCATATGTACTTCTTAAACAGTTGTATCAGCAGAAAATCTGATGGCAAATTCTTGTTTTCTTTGATATTTAGTGAGGAAAACAAAAATGAGTAATAAGAAAGCAAGAAAAAATGTCCACTGCGTCACTATAAAAGGCAGAAGGACGATGAGGTCATAGAATGTATCTATTGTTATTTATTCAGAAATTAGCTCTATACCTAGTACATAAACACTCCACTCTCAGTTCATTTCTGCTACTGTAACAAAACAGCTGAAAATGATAAAAACAGAAACTTATTTCTCACAGTCCAGGAGGCTGAAAAATTCAAGACGGTGGTGTTGGCAGGTTTGGCACCAAGTGAGTTCTCAGTTTCTGCTTCTAAAATGGTATCTTGAATGCTGTGTCCTCACAAGGTAGAAAGCGTGAAAGAGCAAAAGGGGCCTAGCTAGCTCCCTTCAGCCCCTTTGTAATGCACTAATCCCATCTATGAGTGCGGAGCCCTCATGGCCTAATCAAATCCTAAAGGCAACACTTCTTAACACTATTTCACTGAGAATTAAGTTACAAAATGGATTTTAGAGGGGAGACAAACATTCAAGCGATAGCATAATAATCCATAATTTTTGAATGGATGAACAAAAAGCCACTTGCATTTAAATGTGAAAAAGTAAATACTTTCACTGTCAGTTCAATACTTTCAGTGTATTTGTTTTACCGTTGCCATCATTCCTTGTAAAAATTCAAAGCAATCAGTTGGCTTTCAATTAAATTTACACATCAGTTATCAAAATTTTAAATGTTAACTTGGTTTCTACCCTTCATGATATTTAATATGTATATTATTTTTACAAAAACTACTTAATTTTTTCCCCAATTTTCTAGTTCTCTTTTCCTTGGGGAAATGAGCACACACAAAACAAATCAAGTGACGGACAGGGCATTGCTAATGTCTTACTTTGGTAAGGTATTTTCCTTAGTATCTTGAATAGAACTGAGATTTTTATTTTTGTATGTTTTTTTTTTACCAAGGCTGACTCATATTATAGATGATCTAAAGTATTACTATAATACAAAACCATTGTCTTTCATGGCACAAAGAAAAAACGTGGGTCATGTCAAACACCTGCAATGACAGTTAAATCATGTCACAAATAGATAAGCTAATTATGCTGAAAAAATGATTATGTACATGCTATGTAAAGCATTGTCCTTTTCCTCTGTTGGAGGGCATTTATTCACAGACATCATGTGTACTTTCTTCCCAAAGGGTAACGTTGACCTAGAACCCTATGGACCACTCTTTACAGTAAAGCTTGCCAACTACTTGTCAAAAATGATTAGTGAGAAATGAAGGAAAGAAAAGTTCCCTTGCTGATAACAGGGGGCAAATAGAAGATGCTCTGAAATTGTCATAAGGAATCACATTTTTTTCAATAAGAATATTTTTTATTTGATAATATCTAAAAGCACAGATCACCCTTTATACATATTTTAGATATGAATTGTATTGAACTTGACAGGTTAGATAATAGAAAATTCTGTGACAACTCACAAAAGAGGATGTGTGTATTGTAATCACCTGTTTTCTTGATAAAATGAAGTTAAGCTCAGTCATGATTTCCCTTCAATGATATTTTTTAGAAACTGAGTTTGTGTGTCTTTGGATTTGTAATAACCCCAAACTCACATTGCATGTTGAAATACTCTTTTAATTGAGAGAATTTATTACAACTTTATTTTGGATTATATTCTGAATATATTACAACATAAAAGCTAAAGAAAGCGATAAATTTTTCTAAACAGATTTATATAAGCCTCACAGTCTGTATTATGAAATCAATATTAATGTTGGAGTAACATTTTGATCTACTAGAGTCATAAAATTAGTCAGAATTCTTCAGCTATCGTTTTGAATCCTTTCTTTATATCTCTTAATAATATAGATAATGCAGATTTGAGTTACAGGAAAATGTAATATGCAATGTGTTTGAACAAAGTGTGTTATAATTTTGGATGTACATCAACCTATACTAGTTTTCTATGTTGTGTAAGACCAAATATCCTAGATAATATTGGATTATTGCAGTCAATGATATTTTACATTAAATATCAAAAAATAATATGACATTCATTTATAACCCAGAAAAATGAAAAACTCCCAAGAGAAGTTTAGGTTTCATGGCTCCTTATGCTAATAATCTTAAAGTTCAAATGCTAACTTTCTATCTCCATTTTATTTAGAATGTATAATAAATCTTTAATGAAAAAAGATGGATTTCTATTTTTGAAAGTTACCTTTAGTCATTTTATTTTCTGCAGTAGTGTGGATTAGAAACCCAGCTCAATCCTACCACTAAAATAATTCTTAAAAGTTGAATACAACATAAAAACATACTATATTAATGCCACAATGATCAGACAAGAATATAAACATCTTATGAAAATTAAGGTTTTACTTTGAGAGAATTCTCTGGTCCTGATAAGGATGAGGCCACGTTTCTTGGGATCTTAAAGAGCAGAGGACCAGAGACAATGCTCAAAATTCAGCTGAATTAAAAGTGTAGTAAGTGAATACTCTTACACTGTTGATGGGAGTGTAAACTAGTTCGACCATTGTGGAAGACAGCGAGGCATTTCCTCAAGGTTCTAGAACTAGAAATACCAATTGACCCAGGAATCTTATTACTGAATATATACTCAAAGGATTATAAATCATTCTACTATAAAGGCACATACACACATATGTGTATTGCAGCACTATTTACAATAGCAAAGACTTAGAACAACCCAAATGCCCATCAATGATAGACTGGATCAAGAAAATGTGGCACATAAACAATATGGAATACTATGCAACCAAAAAAAAGGATGAGTTCATGTTCTTTGCAGGGACATGGATGAAGCTGGAAGCCATCATTCTCAAAAAACTAACACAGGAACAGAAAACCAAACACCACATGTTCTCACTCATAAGTGGAACTTGAACAATGAGAACACATGGAGACAGGGAGGGGAACATCACACACCGGGGCCTGTTAGAGGGGCAGGGGCAAAGGGAGATAGAGTCTTAGGACAAATGCCTAATGCATGTGGTGCTTAAAACCTAGATAATGGGTTGATAGTTGTAGCAAACCGCCATGGCACATGTATACCTGTGCAACAAACCTGTTCTTTCTGGACATGTCTCCCAAGACTTAAAGAGAAAAATAAAATACGCTTTTAGGAGTTCTCACTAACATGACCTGTGTAACTTGAAAAACCTCAAGACAGAAATTTAGTTTAAAGTGATAGTATTTTGTTTATGGGATCAGGATCCCTGGATCCTTGGTATAAACAAATTTATATAATCCTTTTGGGAACCGAATTTCAATTCTATCTTAAAATTATTTGCATAAATACACTTAAATTGGTTATGAATTGACAGGAAAACAAAACAAAACACGTAGAAACATGATACATGAAAAGAAAATAGAGGGAAAAAAGGAGATAAAAATGACATGAAGAAAGACTTCAGATACTGGAATTAGAATGTATAACAAACAAATTGAATCAAGTAAGAATTAAAATGTATGATTTAAAAGTTTAATTCAAACAACAGTAAATACATTAATGACACATTCATAATATATTAGAGATAACTAAAATGAGAATAAGCACATAATGTAAAACACAGTTGAATTCACTGTAACTATTAAGAGATGTATAAAATGAACAATTAAGAGAAAGGATTAAGTGACATGAAAGATAGAATGAAAATGACTATCGTATATTCAACTTGAGTCTAATACAGTCATTAGTGAGACTTACTGACAGGCTATCCACCTAATGAAAAACATCAAATTCTCAGATTCAGGAGAAATAACAAATTACAAACAAGATACATAAAGATGAATTTATTTCTAGGCAAACTTCAGTTTTTATCATAACCTGTACCTTCAATCACCTTTATTCTGCTTGACTTGGTCTATTTTTCTCATCATATTTTCCACCTTCAAACATATATAACATATCCTATTTATTTTGGGTGTCTTATGTTACAATAAAATCTTAAAACAGATTTTGTTGATTTTGTTTACAAGATGTAACCAAAGTTCCTAGATTATTTTTATAGCATAGTATATGTTCAAAATTTATTACCAAATGAATATAATACACGTATATGAATGGTGAAAGAGAATATAAAACAGACGAAAGACCTTCAGGACTACCACAACAAAATGACACATACCAACAATGACTTCTTATCAATACTAATAAAATATGGAAAAAACTTTGGAAAATATCCTGAATGAGTTTAGACACATTTCTATATATTAGAGATTTATGAAACATATAAACATCTTTTATAAATGGTCAAAATAACAACATTTTTGACAAAGAATAACAGAAAATTTATCATCCAAAGACCTTCTAAAGAAATTTCAAACAAAATGATCACAGATGAAAGATTTGAGATAAAAGAAATAATAATGAGAAAAATAGGAATATGGGAAGTATAAAAAGAAAACAAAATTTACTTCAATACAAATTTAGAAGTAGGATTATAAAAAACAGTAGCAAAATTTCTGAAAACAATAGAAAATGATTAAGGAAGAGATTAATCAAAGAGAAAGTTTAGCTTCCTTATGTTTATAAGTAAAGATGTTTTGCTGGGGGTCCCCACTGGTCTTCGGCTTTTATGATTTACTTAAAAGACTCTCAGAACTCAGAAAAGCAATTACACTCATGTTTACATTTTATTAAAACAAAACGATGCAGATTAATATCAACAAAGAGGAAAGATGCTTAGGGCAAAGTACAGGAAACACCGGTCACAAACTTACAAGTGTCCCATCACAGTAGAATCATATGCAGATACATTTAAATCTCCCAGTAATACTGTAAGACAACCACATGTGAATTCTTGGCAATTAAATAAGCTTATTTAATCTTTGAAGCCCCAGGTTTTTATTGGTGGTTAGTCACATGGGAATGCATCAGCAAATTCAGCTTCCTTTCTATGATCCTTCTAGAACAAAAGCAGGCATTCGGCATCAATCATATCTTAGAATAAATTTATCTGGTTAAATTGATACCACATGGTATAAATAAATACAGCATGGCTCAGGGTCTCAGGCATATAAAGTCAGCCATTCACCATCAACCCAAGGCGTCAGGTATATAAAAACACTCTTCTCCATAAGACTATTTCCAGAACTCAGAGGCAAGCTAGTCCTGAAAACAAATCTAACCTTTGAATGTGCAGGGTTGAAGGAAGCCTGGACTACTGAGTTAACACATTCTTGACTGATCCATATTCATTGTCCCTAGTCTGCTCTCTCCTGTAGCAAAACAATCATATTTTCCTGAGCGTCTACATTGAATATAGCATTTATATATGACAGTAATAAAAATAATATTAACATGAATATGCCTGGAATTTTTTGGACACAGTGTAGGGTGAAGAGGGATTTTTAAAAAAGTATTAATGCATCCTACAAGGCCATT